AAAACTGCCTCCGCCAGGACTCGAACCTGGAACCTTCCCACTTTCCGGGCGGGATGCCTTTCCATTCGGCCACCGAGGCTTCGACAGTAATCTCGCAATACAATGTTTATAAATTCTCTAAGATGTAAGTTGAGAGAGAACGAAAGAGTCATCCTCCCATAATTATATTAATATTAAAAAGTAATATTAGTATTTAATAGCACTAAGCCATCCGTGCTTGCTCCTTATGTGCCGTATCAAATCTCATTGTTAATTAATCTATTCAAGGAGCTTTCTATTATTTCGGTTTATTTTAAATTAAAGTTTCTTTTATTATCAGAAAACAATTTATTTAAATTTACAAAATAATTTATTTGTATTTTATTTACTTTTGAAACAAGTAAAAATATAAACAAACAAGAAAAAAAATATTTTTTAATTTTTTTTAAATATACTTTTTACATATTTTTCAAACATACATTTTATATTTAAAACATTTCTATTCTCTTCTTTTAAATAAATCATTTGTTTTCATATATGAATATACCATATGTATACAATACAAAGCGTTTCTCAACTTTTTTAAGTTTAGAAATTATATTTAACAAAATATGTTTCTTTAATTTAAAGAATTTTTTCAGTATACATTACCAATTTAAATTTCGATTTTATTATTTTTTCATTAATTTAATTATTATAAATAATTATATTTATTTTTTTATGTATACTATTTGTAGAAATATTTACAAAATATTACTACAAATCTTTATTTTTTGTTTACTATAAATATTGTATAAAATATTTAGCCTATATTTTAATAATATTTTGAATAAAGATTTTGATGCTTTTTTCTTTATGTATAGAAATATTTATAAAATATTTATGTAAATAAAATATTAATTTTTAAAAAATAATTCGACTTAAATATTTATGAATCTTTATCATAAATATTGTGTGCTGTCTGGAAAATTCTCTTTTTTCATTAAAAAATGTTTTCCTTAACGGATTGGAAAAATGTTATGTTTTTTTTAATATTTAATGAATGTCAAACTTTTATTAAATATTAAAAAAGGAAACATTTTTTCAAACATTAAAAGTGATAATGGCGCAGTAGATAAAATGAATGACTCAAGAACCAGAGGTCTCAGGTTTGAATCTCGGCAGTGGTAAGCAAATTTTCGAATTAAATTTAACTCGAATTAAGTAACGTATGAAACAATATAAAGTGAAAACTAAGAATATATATATTTTAAAAATTTAAGAAAAGTTCAGAAACGAGAAGAAAGTATATAAATGTATATATTTTAATAAATATTTTCATAATATTGATGATAAATATTTATGATTTATTGAAGCTAAGATTATAAAAATATTTATGAAATATTTTGGTAAATATTTATAAAATATTCAAATAAATCTTATAAATATTTTGTAAATATTTTATAAATATTTTGTGCTGTCTGGGTATCTCATTATTTTTAACGTTTTTAAAAATGCTTTTTCAAATGTCTTTTAAATATTCTTTTGGTGGTTAGGAACATTCAATATTCAAAATTACAAACATTCTATTTTCGTTCTAAGAACGTCCAGTTTTGATCCGATGGGTCCTTAATTCTTAATAATGTCTTTTGAACATCCATAAAAATAACAACGGATGTTTTTAAAATGTCCTAAAAACATTTGTGGATCTGAAATGGGCGTTTTAAATACGTATACAACGTCCAGTACATACGTTTTTAATACGTTTTTAAAACGTCTTTGTGCTGTCTGGGTATTAGAAAATATAAAAATATAATTGCAATCTTTGAAAGGGTTGATGTTTCGACTCATGTTTACTACATATTTTTACTCAGTATAATGAGTACTATCTACTTTGTAAGTTTGGGATACTTTTTTTTAACATTCTGTACATGATTATATATGATTATATATATGATTATACTTCAACTTATTTATTAGAGCAACTGACGTTAGCAATAAACGTTAATTAATGAGTTACATATAATTACAGTTAATTATTTAGAATAAATAATCTTACCTTATTGGCCTTATCGGCATGATTATCATTTTTATATTTGCGATTGCGTCTCTTTTCTCGGACCTTTTTGTTAAGAGGAAGCTTGGCACGCACTGCTGGCGGATGTACAGTTACTCCTTCTGTACCTTCTGGCGGAAGTCGCACAGTTTCCGTCGTGGAACTGTGGATTATCGTGACAGATTTTAATTTCAAATCCGGTCGTTTGCCTAGTAATCTCATGCTGATAACCTAGTATAGGAGGAATAAGTTATTTTGTATTACATTTCGTAAATATCCATTTTATATTTTATTTATTTTTTACATAAAAAATATGTAGATTTACAACTATAAAAAATAATGAGGATATAATTTTAATCGCAAATATGAATCTTGCATATTACTTTTACATGATAAGGCCAATATGAATTTTAAACTGCCATTATATTCAAAGAACAATAGGTATCTGTATTTGCTAGCGACTAGATGAATTTTAACTTTCATATTTTTAATTCTATTCTTTTCTAGCGCTTTGATAATATTTTAACCAAGTAAATATTTAAATTACACAGATTCACAAAAAAAAGTTGTGTGTGCTGAGGATCCCACTATATTTTTTCCATCTATTTTTCCCGCTGAACACGAATCTGAAGTCAGAATTGGGGGTCAATGGGCAAATTTTTGAGAAAATCCATAAAAACGATCAAAATCGTGATCCAGTGATTTTTTAAATATAATAGTAATTTTCTTTGAATAATACTTTGTAAGATCCAACAGTACTTTGCAAACATATTAGTTTACATCCCATGGTGCCTTTTTCTTGGCCACAAATAGGTAAAACAATTTTGTTTTTTTTTTTTTTACACGATTGGTACAAGTACCATCAGAAACCTGCTACCACGGAGTGTTTAGACTGCGATGACAACTGCCCTTTAATGGGATGTGTAGAATGATTCGTTCAGTCAACATTTCGTGGTATCGAAGCCAGCAAAGGCGCGCTGTTTTGCAGAGAAGCGCTAGAATATGAGGATGATGCCGTAGTGTGTCCGACGACGAGTTGACGTTGTCCTCGTCAAAGTCGGAAAGCTCTCATACTTAGGCCTGGGGAGGTATGAGGGTTATCACCCCTAGGACGGCGGACTTACCTGCGATCGGGCCAGGAATTCTAGCGTGCAGGGTTTATCTTATCTTTATGGATTGCGATGATTTTTCTACTCAATACTTTGCAGGAACTTCTAGTACTTGTGACGGTCACGAATGTTCTGGAGATCCAAATGTCTTTTGTTACGTTTGTGCAAAATACATAGAAAAAAAAAATGCCAAGCGAATCACAGATCGACTCGTGACTTTATATGAAAAGTGCTTTGATATGAAAGTCTCCCTACATCTCAAAAATTGAATTCCTAATGTTCTATGTGGTTCGTGTTACAATATGATCGACCGGTTTCAAAAGCATCAAGATAAAAACAAGCTCAAATTTAAAACTCCAGCAATATGGAAAAAACCACTCGATTCAAGTGATTGCTATTTTTGTATGACAGATGTAAGAGGCGTGCAACAGATTCACAAAAATAAAATTGTTTCTGCTTCTGTATCAAGCGCCCAACAAGCAGTAATGAGAGTAATAGGAGGCTTAGAAGATGATGAGTCACGAGACAGTCTTGTAAGTGAATCAGACGCTATGCAAGTCGATGTGGATCCAGAAAATCTAAACTTTATTGATGAAGAAGATGATGATGAAATTGAGCAAGAAGAGTCTTCTGACAGTGAAGAAGAATACATTCCTGTTGGCAAAGAACGGATGCCTCAGAAGTACGATCAAAAACATTTAAACGATCTATTCAGAAAAGCTAAACTATCGAAAGAAGTTGCTGAACTACTGGCTTCAGATATGAAGAAGAAGAACCTTTTAACGAAAGGTACTAAGATTTCATTTTATCGAAACCGAGAAGAAGCTTTCCGTCAATATTTTGAAAAAGATGAAAATTTACTTTATTGTACAGATGTTAAAGGACTTGTCGATGAATTAAAGTCAAATTTATATAAACCTGAGGAATGGAGGTTATTCATTGATTTATCACAACAAAGCCTTAAGGCAGTCCTTCTCCACAACATTAATAAGTTTGCTTCTTTACCTTTAGGCCACTCAACTGTACTCAAAGAAGAATAATTTAATCTTGAAACCCTCCTGAAAAAAATAAAATATGAAGAACATAAATGGCAAGTATGTGGTGATTTGAAAATTTTGTCAATGATACTCGGGCAGCAATCTGGATTTACAAAGTATCCATGTTATTTGTGTATGTTTGACAGTAGGGATCGAAAAAATCATTACAAAAAGAAAGTGTGGCCTTCGAGATCTTCTTTTGAAATTGGATCACATAATATAATAAGAAAACCGCTTGTCGATCCATCAAAAATTCTCATTCCTCCTCTTCATATAAAGCTTGGTTTATTTAAACAATTTGTGAAAGCTCTTGATAAAGAAGGAAAATCCTTTACACATTTGCGTACAGTATTTAATCACAAATCTGATGCAAAGCTGAAAGAAGAAATCTTCGATGGACTTGAAATCCGGAAGTTATTCAAAAATTAGGAATTTGTTTTAACGATGACTGATCAAAAAAAGGCATCGTGGATAAGTTTCAAAGAAGTGTGCACTAAATTTTTGGGTAATACTAAAGCCGTCAATTACAAAACCATTGTAGCAAGAATGATAGAAAACTTCCAAAATTTGGGTTGTCTGATGAATTTAAAGTTGCACTTTCTTGATTCACATCTAGATAAATTTCTAGAAAACAATGGAGATTTTAGTGAAGAGCAAGGAGAAAGATTTCATCAAGACTTGAAAGAATTTGAACGAAGATTTCAGGGACAATGGGATGTAAACATGTTTGCAGATTACTGCTGGATGTTACAAAGAGAAACAAACAAAAAAGGAAAAAAGCAAAGCAGAAATCCATTACATAGATCTTTTGAAGATAAACGGAAACGACGAACAATATAAGGATATGAGTATCATATTTAAAAAATTATTGGATCACGATTTTTATCGTTTTTATGGGTTTTCTAAACAATTTGCCCATTAACCCCCAATTCTGACTTCAGATTCGTGTTCAGCGGGAAAAAATACATAGAAAAAATATAGTGGCACTCCCAGCACACACAACTTTTTTTTTTTTGTGGACCTGTGTTATTAAACCAAGTTTCAGCCGTCCGCAATAATCATGATTTTGATACATATTATTAACGTCATAACCACGAATAACAATCTGAAATTATAGCTGTCACTGACTGCTTATTAAAAAGTTATTAACTAAAGAAGATCTATAAATGAAACGTAATTTGTAGATATTATGTACATTTATGAAATATATGCATATAAAAAATCAATAAAAACTATTTGGATTAGGTTAGGTTAGGTTAGGTTCAATTAGATTAGATTTAGGGCTAGCCTCAGAGCTGTCGGGGTTGTTCGACTTGTACTGAGAGAGTGGGTCAAGCGGCGGCGAGATAGACTCTTCTTCCGGCTATAGATGCTCTCCAGACATGACTGTTTCGGGGAGTACCTGTGTAGAATACCGGACCGGGAGGTGACGACGAAATGTTACGAGTACGGCCAAACGGAGGACACGGCACAGCACATCTTAAGAGGAGGGCATACTAAATGGCTGCTGGACATCGTGCATTCGGGATATGAATGTATTCGTTTCAGACAGAGAAACGCGGTTATCGAAAGCGCGGTTTGCTAGGCCGGGACTCGAACCCGGTTGTTTGCCGGGCGACTGCTCTAAACCATTGAGCTACCTGATACTTCACGCTCACGACAATTTCCTCTCTCCAGATGGTGCTCAGAGATGCCGTTTAGAAGTGACATCTCTGGCGCTATTTCGAGCGTACGACGACTACAGAGAGAAACAGAAGAAGGAAGAGATAAGGAAGTATCTTTTGTTGCTGACCATAGTAAGAAACATGATCGGCAGCGAAGAAGCATGTGGCGCAATGGTATCCTTTTGCGAGACAGTCATGTCCCAAAAGGAAGTCGCAGAGCGGAGTCGGGGTCGGGAAGGCTCGAGGAAGATCCGCACGCCGACCCTGCTCGTCGAGCGAAAGAAAGAAGGAGGGGAAGGAGGTGCGAATACGCGCGCCTCTAGGAGTAAGCCCCTTTCACTTCTTCCAGGGCCGCAGGGGGACGTGCACGGGAGTGCATGCCCTCCTGTTAACGCGACATGAGAGGTGATCGCATCCCGCCGCTGAATTGTGTCGGCAGGAGGGATAGAACAATGTCCCCCCAGGGACGGGACCTCCTCAGGGAGACCACAGCGTACGGGATGTAGGGGCACCGGTAGCATGCGTAAAGCAATCCCGGAGCCTCCAACGTCGCGCTAGCCGACGACCACTGAAGGCGTTTTATGTTTCCTTTTTATGCTAATGAAAGGAGGTGAGTCTCGCATAATCCTCAGGCCTCCCATGATGCATTTCCCCTGCGACAAAAAAAAAGATTAGATTTGATTATAGGCTACCGGGAAGACGTGAAGGGAGGGGGGCGTTGCAGACTTCCCGGCCATCGTAGGGGCCGTTCCCCCGAACGCCAGTAAAAAGGTGGTACGGCTGGGTCGGTACCCGGGCCTTCAGTTTGGCTCGTCCCGATGCCGAAGGTGTCGATTAGTCCACCATGATTGGCCCTCGGGAGAGCTGTGGACGGGCTATATGCGCCCTATCGTGGCCTCCTCCCCTTCGAGTCGCAGAGGGGTGCCCGAAGGTACATCTCTCCTGTCAACGCGACTCAGGAGGGAGGTGACGCAGTTATGTGGTCACACCGTGCCACTAATAGACTTGGCAAGGGTGACAGAACACCATGCCCCAGGGATGGGACTTTCCTTGGGAAACGGGGGAGGAGGGCACCGATGGAATATGAAAAGCGATCCCAGAAACAACACAACATCTCGCTCGTCGACGGCCACGGCAGGGGTTCTAATGGATATACCTCTTTTCGATGTTAACGGGACAAGGCGAGAACCACATATAACCCGCGGCCCTCTCCCGAGGGCAAGGTCGTGCGTAATGCGTAATGTATTTCCTCTCAAAAAAAAAGATTAGATTAGATTAAATGCCCTTCCACCGGAGGCAGGTACTCTCCAGGCATGGATGATTCGAAAGGTACCTATGTCGAATAGGTCGCAAACCAACTACGAGCTGTCATCACTGTAGAGCGGTCTTGGACACGGCGCAGCATACCTTAAAGATGTGTT